GATTTAAAAAATTGGCCGTGGCCTGTTTGGCTCAGCAGTTAGAGTGTTGACCCGTGGACCAAAGAGTCTCAGGTTCAATTCCGGTCAAGGGCATGTACCTCAGTTGCAGTTCGTCACCAGGGTCCTGCAGGAGGCATCCATTCGATGTGTCTTTCTCACATTGGTGTTTCTCTCTCTCTCTCTTCCTCCCTCTCCCCCTCTCTCCCTCCCTCCCTCCCACTCTATCTGAAGATAAGTGGAAAAATATCCTCGGGTGAGGATTTAAAAAGAAAAAAATTAGGTTCACCCGGCAGTGTGACACTGGTTGAGCATCGACCCATGCACGAAGAGGTTGCAGGTTTGATTCCCAGCCTGGGCACATGCCCAGGTTGTGGGCTAAATCCCCAGTAGGGGGCATGCAGGAGGTGGCCAATTGATGTTCTGTCTCATCAATGATTCTATATCTCCCCCTCCCTTCCTCTCTCTCTCTATCAGTAAAGAAAAGAAAATTTAAAAAGAAAATTAGGTTCAAAGAGATTAAGTAATTTGTCCAAGGCCCCACAGCTAGTAAGTGTCAGAGGCAAGATTTGTATCCAGGTCATCTGACTCCAGGACTTATGCTTATGCCACAACACCACATTGATCCCAGGACCCAGTGATGGGACCATCAGGAGCAAGAAGAGAGGAAAAATATAATATATTTCCCCCCTAACTTTCCCACATGTTGCCAACTGGAATAATGTGAGTAGGGGTTTCTGGATAGCCAGTAAGATTAATATATCTGGATCCTGAAGATACTGACTGGTTCATTGGAGCAGAACATAAAAATACTGGTTAGAACCCCCACTTGAACCTAATCTTGACCTTTCTTGGTTTTAAAATTTCCCCATGAGCAAGATTACTGGCCATCAGTACTTGACCCAGGTTCCCCACTTGCCTTCCATTCTTTTTTTTTATCCTCACCCGAGGACATTTTTCCATTTTTTGTTCAGATAGAGTGGGAGGGAGAGAGAGGAACAGAGAGGGAGAGAGAAACATCGATGTGAAAGGAACACATCGAGTGGCTGCCACCCGCACGACCGACCAGGGCCAGGGACAAACTGCAACTGAGGTACGTGCCCTTAGTGGGAACCAAACCCGGGTCTCTCAGGACCGCAGGCCGACGCTCTAACCACTGAGCCAAACCGGCCAGGGCTTGCCTTCCATTCTTTCTAGTCCTCAAGCTTCTCTCATTTCTCTTCCCTTCTCCACTTGGTTCAGGTATCCTGCAGCTTCTTCAGTCAAGGACATCCCGAAAATTCCTAGCATGTCGCCTAACTCCAGACATGGAGAGTAAGCTCCTCTTCATGACCTCCAGGGTAAGCTCACCTATTGCAGCAGGAGAAGTTGCAGGCACTAGCTGGGCTTCTTCCTTCATCCTGCCGGTCTATCATCGTTGAGTACTGACTGGTGGAATGCTGGTCAGGTGGGTGCCTCTGATCTACCTGGCATTGGGCTGGTACTAAGAACTAGGGTACATTGTTGAGTAAGAGAGAGAATTCCAGCTCTTGTGAAGCTTCCAATCTATCTAAAGCAGTCATTAAACTAATAATGGTAAACAAATTATATAATTAACAAGTGTGAAGTGTGCTATAAAAGGGTAAAGTGAGGATGTTCGTTCTGGAAAACTCACTGTTCCTCTGGGTAAACCATGAGCTCTCAGGAAGAGAGCTCTGGTCTTTTGGTTTCTAAACATGGTTAACTTACGGCAGAAGTGTTTGAGGGGCACCTGAAAAATATATCTTCCTGGATCCCATTATTCCAGAGAATCTGAAGAATCTGTATTTCTAATAGCCTTTCCAGGCAACAGCTCCTCTGCAGCCAGTCTTGCGTTAGGGGACAACTGCTCTAGCTTCCCAAATCATCCAGGAGAACTGTCCTGATCTGTGCTGTCCCATGTGGCAGCCACTAAGCTATGTGTTGCAATTTAAATAGTTGAAACAAAGTAAAAGTTAAAAGTCAGTACCCCAGTTGCAGTAGCTACATTTTAAGTGTTCAAAAGCCACCATCATTGCAGAAAGTCCTATTAGACAATGTTGGTCTAGATGTTTTTTGGTGTGTGTGTTGTTTTTGTTTTTGTTTTTAACCCTTTGCTCTCTGTTTTGGTTGAATTTGGGGAATAGAAGAGGAAAACCAGATCTTTCTGTTTTTAATATGTTTATTGATTTTTTTAGAGAAAAAGCGGAAGGGAAAGACAGATAGAAATATCAATGAGAGAGAAACATCAATCAGCTGCCTCTTGCAAGCCCTTTACTGGGAATTGAGCCAGCTACCTGGGCATGCTCCCTGACCAGGAATCCAACTGGTACCTCTCAGTCCAGGGGATGACGCTCATTCCACTGAGCCATGCAGCTGGGCCAGATCTTTCTCCTTAATTAGTGTTGCTATTTGTAACCACACTGTCTGACTGCAAGAAGGTTTGGAGGTTGCATGTACCTTGGATAAGCATCCCATTAAGTCATTTAGTATCAGAAAGCTTTCAATCATTGCTGAGCAGTGAACAGGCTCAGCTCTTGTTCACAAGGAACATTGCTTGCTGTTCACAAGTAGCTCAAGAAAATAAAAAATTATGCTTAGGACTGGAGAATCAGGAACCAGTAACAGGAGTAAGAGTCAAAAGTGGTGTGCAGTTGTGGGTGATGTGACATCAGGTCACTGGCAAGAATGAATGCGCCACTGGCATGTGACTTTGAGCATGTTTTTAAAATCAAGGAGGGGAGACTTAAGAGACAATATTAGTTAATTAATAAATTGTGGGAAGAAATTGAGGTCTGGGGTCAATCCTAGAGTTCAGTGGTGCTCATTTTCCTCTGCCCAGAGACCTCACCTTCCCTTCCAAGTTTCTTTTACAACGTCCCCTTCCCCCCAGGTGCGGTTTGGTCAACAAAAGCGATACCAGGATTGGTTCCAACGCCAGTACCTGTCAACCCCAGACAGTCAGTCTTTGCGCTGTGACCTCATTCGCTACATCTGTGGGGTTGTCCATCCTTCTAATGAAGTGCTGAGTTCAGATATCTTGCCCCGATGGGCCATCATTGGTTGGCTGCTGACGACATGCACGGTGAGAGGCTGTACCATGGAGGCTATTGGGTGGTAGTGGGTCCCTCTTCCCTTGAGTTCTTCATACTTCCATACTTCTTTCTGACTGTCCAAGCCCCCTGATCCCTAAGGGCCTTCTCTCACTCTCTGCCTCCTGAATGTCTCAGCCTTTGCCTCTCTCTGTCCCTGTCTCTAGAGATTTACTTGCACTCCTCATTTCCCATCTGGGTTTGAAGTTAAATAGGTTCATCTATGCCTTTACTGCCAGTCCCCAAGCCTGGGTTTCTAGGCATCCCTTCTTCCAGAAACCACATGTGGCTGTCCCTTTCTCAGATCCAGAGCTTGTGCTCCTTAGACCCTCACTTCCATGCTTTCGGTATCAGCTTTGGATACTTCTCTTCTCCAAAAGTAATGTATTCACAATGGAGCCATCTCCTTCCCAGCACTTTCTTCCCATTCCTGGGGTGGGAAACTATGTTCCCTGGCATCTAGTTGCCCTCTGACCTTTTGACAGGGCTCCTGCTCCCCCATCTGACTGGGTCCTTGGAATGTGCTGATTCAGATATAACAGCAAGCTGTTTCTAGGGTCTTTCCTTTGGGAATGTGCCTGGCGAGTCTGGCAAGGGCTCAGATTAGTGCTGTCTGAGCTCAGCAGCGACCAGGGACTCCCAGGCTCTGGTGTCTTCCCTTACGGGACCAAGGTGTGTTCTACTGGAGGTGTGAGACCCCAGGCCGAGCCTCAGTCCCTGGGTTGGTGAGACCACAACAAACTCACATTCATGTACAGACCTGAGAGTCCTTAACCCCTATGGGGGTTCCATTCTGTCTCACTAGGCACTGAATTTTATACATGGAACATTATTGTGGGCCCTGGAATTTGTCTTGGACTTTTAAAGGGAAGGGATGATGAAACTAGCCTTCTTTTTCCCCCCTCTCTTCTAGTCAAATGTCGCTGCCTCTAATGCCAAGCTGGCTTTGTTTTACGACTGGCTGTTCTTTAGCCCAGACAAGGATAGCATTATGAACATAGGTATGTGACTGAGACCAGGCAATGCCACTTTCCACCCCACTCCCCACCCCAGCTCTCAGTGATAGCAGTCATAAATCACAGGGCAGCACGGAGTGGAGGCAGCTCATCTGGGAGCAGTTCCGTTGTTCCTCATCAGTGCTCCCTTGACCTAGAAGGAAAGTTGCTTTGATGAGACCAAGCAGTGCTACCCTTTCTTTTCCCCGTAGCCTGATGCTTAGACTTCAGTGTGGGGGTGGGGTTCCCTGCAGAGGAAAAAGTTGTACCACATCCTGTTTCTCCTCTCCTGCTACCTCCCTCCTCTAAGCTGAGTACTAGGGACAAGAGGGATGATGAGGCCTACCAGCTGTTGTGGGGAGTTGTCTGCTTTTGGACCTGCTAAGTGGGAACAGGGGGCAGGGATAGACAGCTCTCTGGAACCATTCATATATATTGATCGCTCAGTTTATGGAGCTGGGAACAGACTCTCTGATATGGGGGTCCCTTTAATTCCACATTCTCCAGAGCCAGCCATCCTGGTCATGCATCACTCCATGAAGCCCCACCCAGCCATCACTGCCACACTCCTGGACTTCATGTGCCGTGTAAGTTCTGTCACCGTTTTTTCTCCTCTTTCCTGGCCCAGCAAAGTTGTCTGTGTTCCCTCTAACCTTCTAGGTCAGTGAAGAGGTCTTCCCAGTGCCCCTTGATTGTGGGAGCAGAAGTGGTTAGGTCCCATCCCCCAAGTTAATGAGTGCTTCTCTTACTCCTGCTGTATCCAGTTTGGTCTTTCCATGTCCCGATGAGGTTTTTCAACCTCAGGGATGATGACTTAACATAGAATCTAGTCTCCTTGAGGAACAGCCAGGTCCAGGAACATTCCAGCCCTTTATGCAGCCATACTTCTAGTGTCCCTCAATCAAAACCAAAGCAACCTGTGTTCACATTGGCAGCACATGCACTGAAACTGGAATGATGCAGAGATTAGCATGGCCCCAGTGCAAGAATGACAGGCAGATTTGTGAAATGTTCCTTTTATTTTTGTAAAGCAGCCCTTTAGATCTTGTGCTCATTTTCTCCTCCCTTCTTCCTTTCCAGATCATTCCCAACTTCTATCCACCACTGGAGGGCCATGTGCGGCAGGGTGTCTTTTCCTCCCTCAATCACATTGTGGAGAAACGGGTCTTGGCGTAAGGACTTTCTGTGTCTGTGGGAGAGGGAAGGGTTGTTTTCCCATTTTTCACTAGGACAAGCACATCCAGATGCTGCCATACAACTGTAGACCCTTTACCTTGAGAGGTATAAAAACTACTGGCTCCACCTCAGCCAGCGAGGCATATGTTCTCTTGACTCAGAGAAATGTCTCTCCTGCCATCATATCACAAAGGACTTCACATGCCTTTCCTGTCTCCTGATCCTTTCAAGGATCTGACTATAGCCCAGTTATCCTGGTTGCTCTTAGACTTATTCCTTTTCCTCGTGTTGAGTTAGAAGTGAGGAGCTCTGATGTTGATCTTCATTTGTGTTCCCTGTTAGGCATTTGGCTCCCCTGTTTGACAACCCTAAATTGGATAAGGAACTGCGGGCAATGCTGAGGGAGAAGTTTCCTGAGTTCTGCAGTTCACCCAGCCCACCTGTGGAAGGTATGGAACCCTCTCATTCCGTCACCTGCTTCAAAAGAGGGATGGAGACATTCAGGACTCTCAGACTAGCCCCTGCTTAGATGTCATACCTGTGCAGCTTTCTACCTTTCTAACACTGTCCATTTGTTTTTCCTCCCCCACTTCTCTTATTCATTTTCATGTCTTCCTAAGCTCTCCCTCTTCTTCTCATTAAAAAAATATTTTTAGCTCTGGACAGTTTGGCTCAGCGGTTAGAGCATCGGCTTGCGGTCCAGAGAGACCTAGGTTCAGTTCCCACTAAGGGCATGTACCTCAGTTGCAGTTTGTCCGCGGCCCTGGTTGGGTTGTGCGGGTGGCAGCCACTCGATGTGTCCCTTTCACGTTGATGTTTCTCTCTCTCTCTCCCTCCCACTCTATCTGAACAAAAACATGGAAAAATGTCCTCAGGTGAGGATAAAAAAAAATCTTTTTAGCCCAGCCAGTGTGGCTCAGTGGTTGAGCATCGACCCATGCACCAAGAAGTCGCCGGTTTGATTGCCGGTCAGGGCACATGCCCAGGTGGTGGGCCAGATCCCCAGTGCGGGGCATGCAGGAGGTGGCCAGTCGATGTTCTCTGTCATCCATGTTTCTGTCTATGTCCCTCTCCCTTCCTCTCTCAAATCAATAAAAAAAAAAATTTTTTTTCTTTAATATTTTTGTTGATCTTTAGAGAGAGGAAAGGGAGGAGAGATAAACATCAATAGGTTGTTTCACTTATTTATGCATTTATTAGTTGATTCTTGCATGTGCCCTGCCCAGGGATCGAACCCACGACCTTGGAGTATCAAGACAATACTTTAACCTCTGAGCTACCTGGCCAGGGCCTCTACATCTCATTTTATTTGACTTGTGGTAATCTCTCTTGCTCTCTTAACCTCTATTTTTCTCTTATCAACCCATCTTCTGTATGTAGAGATGTTTATGGAATGTGTTTACTTTAACCTTGTCCACCTTTTTTCTCCCAGGCCAGGGCCCTGGCCTTGTTGAAAGGTTGTCATGTTGGGTCTCAAGTTTTGCTCCCAATTCAGACACACAAACACTTTTTGTTTAGGGGGAGGGGTTAAGCCAAGCAAAACTTCCAAATTTGGTTTTAAATTAATGAGTACTTAGGACTGTCCTTGGTCTTATCTACTTGCTGATCCTGAGATGAGCATAGAGGAGTCATGGCCTGTGCTGTTTTATTCCTGGCAGAATACTCTTGCAAGTCCTGGAAGGTTGGGAGGGTAAAGACCTTTATCCTTCTAGGGTTCATATTCCATTTAGGTCATGAACTCCTTATTTTCTCACTTGCCCTTCAGTCTCCCATTTTCTAAGTGTGGGGTGTGTTAGAGGACACAGGAGGTCATCAAATGCCTTGTCTTTTTTTCCCAAGTCAAAATTGAGGAGCCAGTTTCCATGGAGATGGACAACCATATGTCAGACAAGGATGAGAGTTGCTATGACAATGCAGAGGCAGCCTTCAGTGATGATGAGGAGGATCTCAACAGCAAAGGTGAGGCTAGAAGCAAAAGTAGTTCAGGGTGTGTCAGCTCCAGAGGGTCCATTGGTAGGAGCAGCCTCTCCATGGCTTCTCTGTCACCTTTGCCTCTGTGAGTTAGTTTTGTTAACAGGGGTATTAGCTGAGTCTCTAGGGTGCAGAGCCCTGCACTTGGCACTGAAGCAGGAGGGAAAAGAGAGGTGGTCCCTGGCCTTGTTTGCTCCTCAGGGCTAGGGCATGCACACATGCAGGGAAACGTTCGGCACTCACACAGCATTGGGTGCGCATGTGGGGAGGGACAGGTTGTTCAGGGGAGCTCTGTTGCTGATGTCTGGGCAAAATGACTTCTTTCCCAAATCACTCCCTTCAGGAAAGAAGAGAGAGTTTCGCTTCCACCCTATCAAGGAGACAGTTGTGGAGGAGCCAGTTGATATCACCCCTTACCTGGACCAGTTGGATGAGTCTCTAAGGGACAAAGTGCTCCAGCTACAGAAGGGCAGGTAGGTGTACCCTTTCCTCAGCCCCCATACATACAGCCCTGGGCTCTTTACCAGGTGCTTAGTGGGGTGGCAGGATGGTATGGTTGGAGGGGACATGGTAGGTATATAGAGAGGTAGTTGAAGCTGCATGAGAGGCACCTTCTGTAATTTATGTTGAGGGGTATGGACTGGGAGTGGGACAGCCTTGTTCCCCAGCATCCTGGGTTCTCACTCCATATGTTCTGAGCCTCTGAGTTTCAAAGCAGGATTGTAGGGATTTTGCTTCTGTATGGGCCTCTGCCTGGAGAGCAGCAAATTCTATCCCAATCCTCCCCACACAAGCCCGGATTCACACAGAGCTCCTTTGTTTTGTCTCTGTGCGTGTGAGTGTGCTTGCTATTATGGGTGTGTGTCCTGCACTCTGCTATCATTTCCGTCCCTGAGATTTCCTCTCACTTCTGCACTGTAGTGATACAGAGGCCCAGTGTGAGGTCATGCAGGAAATTGTGGACCAGGTCCTGGAGGTAAGAAGGAACCCATCATCTTAGAGAGGAAGCAGCCCAGCCTGTCCAGCTTCAAGCCCCACTGGCAGCTGACTCCGTCCTTCCCCTTGCCCAATGGGTTCCTTCTGCTGGGGAGAGGGGTTGGTTAATCCTGGAGGTGGAAGCTGATGAGTATGGGTAGTGGGGGCAGTAAGGCTTAGGTCTGGTGGTGATACCCTGTCCCTTTTCTCACCACCCAGGAAGACTTTGACTCGGAACAGCTGTCTGTCCTCGCATCCTGCCTACAAGAGCTCTTTAAGGCCCACTTCCGAGGGGAGGTGCTGCCTGAGGAGGTTACGGAAGAGTAAGGCTTATCTTTCTTACCCCCTGGGCCTTTAGGAGCCAGAAATGTGCTCTTATAGCCTGAGTCCAAGAAACACCTCACTGAGGACTTGACAAAAATAATCTGTTCAATTGATTTTATTCTCACATGTACTGATTCATTTAAACAAGGATTTAACCCTGGCCGATTTGCCTCAGCAGTTAGAGCGTCTGCCTGCAGACCAATGAGTTGTGAGTTTGGTTCTGGTCAAGAGCACATACCTCGGTTTCTGTTTGTCCCCGGCCCTGGTCGGGTCTTGGGGCGGGGTGTGTGGGGGGATGCAGCTGGTTGATATGTCTCTCTCACATCGTCGATGTCTCTCTCTCTCTCTCTCTCTCTCTCTCCCCCCCCCCTTCGTCCCTCCCACTCTGTCTGATGATAAAGAGAAAAATCTCTTCAGGTGAAGATTAAAAATAAAATAAAAAATAAACAAGAATTTACTTTTCTCTGCTGAAAGCCAAGTATACTGCGCTGTGGACTAGCATCCCACCCTGTGTGCTCTGCCTTTGCTGCTGTACCCAGCAGCCCCAGCCATTGCTGCTCTAGGTGGGATTGGACTCTTGCCTGGATCCTCCCTGAAGGGCAAGAATCTCACTCCCCCCCCCCCCCTTTTTTTGTTAATCCTGACCCTAGGATATTTTTCCATTGATTTTTAGATAAGAGTGAAAGGGAGGGAGGCAGAGAGAGAGGGGCAGGGAAACATAGTTGCGAGAGAGATGAATCAATTGGTTGCCTCTTATGTGACCCCAACCAGGGCCAGGGATCGAACCTGCACCCCAGTCACATGCCCTTGACTAGAAATCGAACCAGAGACCCTTCAGTCCGTGGGGCAACACTGTAATCACTGAGCCAAACCGGTCAGGGCAGGAATCTTTCGGTGACGATGACAACCCAAATGTGGTTCCATGTTAGGAAACTGTTTTCTCTGTGACCAAGCCTCTGGAGCAGCAGGACATTACTTTCAGTTAGGATAGGAGCAGCCTGGCATCTTGCCTCAAGCTGGTCTTCTACAGTATCTGCCTGCTGCCCGCCCTCTCCACTTCATGGACTCAGACATCATCTTCCTCTTGTAGGTCCCTGGAGGAATCTGTGGGGAAGCCCCTCTACCTGATATTTAGGTAAGCATCCAGCTGTAGGAGACACAGCTCTGCCCTCCATCTTCCCTGCAGCACACATATGCTTCTGTCCTGGGGTAATGGGACCCCCTTTCCAGGAAGGAAAGGTTGCAGTGGGCTCAAACAGACCATGCCTCCCAGAAGCTCCGTAGGAGAGTCTGCCCTAGGTAAAGCTCTGTTCCCTTCCTCCCACCTCCCACCGTCAGGAACCTATGCCAGATGCAGGAAGACAACAGCAGCTTCTCTCTGCTTCTGGACCTTCTCTCCGAGCTATATCAGAAGCAGCCCAAGATTGGCTATCACCTGCTCTACTACCTAAGGGCCAGGTAGGTATGGTCCCCACATTTAAGAGGGATCAGGAAGTATCCTGGAAAGCCTCTCTCCTACCATATGCTGATTCTCCCACCCTTGTCTGTCATCACCAGAACCTTCTATGTGTTCTCTC